CCCTGGATACCTGCTACACTTCCTGCATGCCTGCTACACTTCCTGCATGCCTGCTACACTCCTTGCATGCCTGCTACACTCCCTGCATGCCTGCTACACTCCTTGCATGCCTGCTACACTCCCTGCATTTCTGCTACACTCCCTGCATGCCTGCTACACTCCCTGCATTTCTGCTACACTCCCTGCATGCCTGCTACACTCCCTGCATTTCTGCTACATTCCCTGCATGCCTGCTATACTTTCTGCATGCCTGCTACACTCTCTGCATGCCTGCTACACTCTATGCATGCCTGCTACACTCCCTGCATGCCTGCTATGCTTCCTGCATGCCTGCTACACTCCCTGAATGCCTGCTACACTTCCTGCATGTCTGCTACACTCCCTGCATGCCTGCTACACTTCCTGCATGCCTGCCACACTTCCTGCATGCCTGCTACACTTCCTGCATGCCTGCCACACTTCCTGCATGCCTGTTACTCTCCTTGCCTCTATGCCTGCCTGCCTTGAATTCTGTCGTATTTCTCACTTTCTTTACCAAAATAACTTTACTAAGAACTTTCTTTGGTGCCTTGGTGACTTATTTCGCAGTTGCACTTAATAAGTAACCACCAAAAACAACGGATTATAGCTAAATGTTTGGATGAAAGAGCAGAAGCTTCCTCACTTGCCCAGAGGCACAGCCAGACTGACGCGAGCAGCTGCTGTTGGGCGGATGTATGTGTCCCATGTGGCCGATAGGCGAAATAATGGCCGATAGCCGGAAGCCGAAAAACCGGCCTATAACCAAGTTGGCTGAAAACAGGAATGGCTGATAACCGAGGGTCCACTGTATTTCTTATGGGAAATACAGTGGTCCCTCGTTTTTCGTAATTAATCTGCTCCTGGAGCCGTTACTATAAACGAAATTTACGATTTACGAATCAATTTTCCCCATAAGAAATAATGTAAATACAATTAATCCGTTCCTGACACCCAGAAGTATTAAAACTAAAAAATTTTTAACATGAAATATACATGTAGTGCATAAACAATATAATGGGAAATGAATGAAACATTAACAGCATAACACTTACCTTTATTGGAGATTCTTCTTAGTGTATGGGAGACTGGAGGAGGAGAGAGAGTGGATTGTTTACAGTTTGGAAGGGAATCCCCTTCCATCAACACTCAGGTACCATTTGCATTTCTGGGGTTGCTTCTCTTCTCTGTTTCTTAATGCCACTAGGACCACCTTGAGAGTCGCTGGAGTCCTGTCTCACAAAATAACTGTGGAGAGAGCTCTGTTTCTGGCGTCTCTTTAAAACACTTCCCTAAAATGGCCCAAGACTTTGTCACTGTACATGTTGCCAACCTGGCTTGCAACAACCTTGTTAGGGTGATGTTTCTCCATAAAGCTTTCCATCTTACCCCACATAGTAAAAATCTCTTTAATTTCTGAAGAAGGCACCTTCTTCCATCTCTCTTCCTCCTCCTCTGCAGCAAGATTCTGAGCTGCGATGTGTTGCTCTTCCTGCTGAAGCTCTTGCAGCTCCTCAGTGGTGAGCTCTTCATTGTGGTCTTCCACCAATTCTTCCACATCCTCCAAACTCACATCCAACCTCATGGAACTCCCCAATGCCACAATTGATTTTACAACAGACATAGGCTCATTAGGGTCAGTCCCAAATCCTTCAAAATCCCTCTTGTCGACACAATCTGGCCACAATTTTCTCCAGGCAGAGTTCAAAGTCCTGGTAGTCACTCCCTCCTAAGCCATACCTATAAGGGTTATGCAGTGGAGGATGCTGAAGTGTTCTCTCCAAAATTCCCTTAGGGTCAAGTGAGTGTCTGTGGTCACAGTCAAGCACATGTGAAACATTGCTTTTGTGTAGAGTTTTTTAAAGTTTGCAATGACCTGCTGGTCCATGGGTTGGAGGAGAGGAGTGGTATTCGGGGGCAAGAACTTTACTGTGATGAACCCAAACTCCTCGAAAATTAGGTCATCCAAGTTTGGAGGATGAGCAGGTGCATTGTCCATTACTAGCAGGCACTTGAGATCCAATTTCTTTTCCAGGAGATACTCCTTCACATTAGGGCCAAACACTTCATTGAACCACTCGACGAAAATTTCCCTCGTGACCCATGCCTTACTATTAGATTTCCAAAACACACACAATTTACTCTTCATAACATTGTTTTTCCTGAACACTCTGGGGTTTTCAGAATGGTACACTAGTAATGGCTTCACTTTGAAATCCCCACTAGCATTAGCACAGAACATTAGCGTCAGCCTGTCTTTCATAGGCTTGTGTCCTGGCATTGCCTTTTCCTCTTGTGTAATGAAGGTCCTCTTTGGCATTTTCTTCCAAAAGAGGCCTGTTTCGTCACAATTGAACACTTGTTCAGGTTTCAGTCCTTCAGCCTCTATGTACTCCTGGAATTCATGCACTATTTTTCAGCCGCCTTGTGGTCCGAACTGGCAGCCTCACCATGCCTTACCACACTGTGTATGCCAGTACGGGTTTTTAAATCTCTCAAACCAGCCTTTGCTGGCCTTAAATTCACTCACCACCACTATTGCAGGCAATTTCTTTACCAAATCTTCATGCAACTACCTAGCCTTTTCACAAATAATCGAAGTCATAAGAGTATCTCCTGCTAATTGTTTTTCATTTATCCACACCAATAACTTCTCAACCTCTTCGAGTACTGGTGATCTCATTTTTGTCAGCATAGATACTCCCTTTGCAACAACAGCATCCTTTATTTCCTTTTTCTTGGCCACTATGGAACATAAGGTTGTGTAGGTTTTCTTATACATCCTGGACAGTTCGGCCACACTTGTACCACTTTCATATTGTTCAATGATGGTTTTCTTAAATTCAATCGTATTTCTCACCTTCTTTACCACAGGCTTGGCACTAGGAGCTTTCTTTGGAGCCATGGTAGCTTATTTAGTACTTGCAAGCACTAAAATAAATGGAATATTATGAAATATTTCGCTGGAGCACGTGAGGGGACCTTCGCTCACTGGTAAACAGTGCCAGGCTGGCTGCCGCCCCGGCTCACGCCGTGGGTACGCGTCCCGGACGAACTACGACTCGCGAGTCAACCTATGAAAAGCGAGTCCATATTTATACGAAAATACCCCTATGATTGGCGAATTTTACGATTGCCGGGAACTAAGAAAAGCGGGGGACCACTGTATTACTTTGGTTTTCGGCCATTTTGGATTTCAGCCAACCTTCTTGAACGGATTAATTATGAAAACCAGGGGTTTACTGTATGTCGTTTTAATTTTTTCAGACGATTCCAGTGTTTGTTCAGCCAATTTGTTTGTCTGTAGTTTCTGAAATATGTTAAGTTGGGGCTCATTAATTAAAGGTTTTACATATAAAAAGTTGCCCTGTTGTGCTTTACAAATAAAATGAAATTATTCTCCCCCTCTACTAAGTTCTTTATGAATTACCTTTAGTAGCTTATTACTGGTTATGTATTTGAAGCTTTCCAAAGCATTATGGAACTACTTTACCATTTCAATAATAGAAATTAATTAGGAAATGGAGCTAAATCATAATAACATAATTGTTAACAGCTCAAGAATTTGATAGGATTCAAACCCATAACAAGCCAGTCCTAAAACTAGCCTGCCAGTGCTCTAACCTCTGAACTGTATATTTTATACACTGGAGAGGATACCTGGGGCCCATTTTGGCCACAAATTCAAATTTTTATGGATGACTGTAACACCCACATGACTGTGATGATACCTATTTCGAGTCCATTCAAAGTTATTACTGGTATCATTGACTTTAGAAAATTGTAATTATTTCTTGTTTTTTCAACAAACCAAATTTTGTAATGTATACAGGAGAAGGGGTCAGTAGCTGCTTGCTCCCAGCATTTTAGCATTTTAGTTGTCTCTTATGACACTCTTGACTCATGGAGGAAGAATTAAAATTGTAATTTCTTAATTGTAAACAACTCGGGGAACAAACTGGACTCAAGTCCATGGCAAGCCAATACTAAAACTATCATCCTGGTCTTAACCACTCTAATGAATAGAAATATACAGTTGGGTGAATCTTATTTAGCCTGTGTAGTCTAGTGGTTGGAGCACTGGCCTGTTGTAGGACTGGCTTGCCAAGGATTTAAGTCCTGTCCAGTCCCTGAATCACAGCAAGAGTAAATAGCTTTCTCAAACTCAAACACCTCTAAAAGTGTGCTCCAAGGATAATTGAATAAATTTTAAATAAAAAACAATACTCATAAATGCAATAATATATGTTAAGAAGCACTACTGAAGTATTAAATTATAGATTAAGCCTGACCACTAGCTATGAGTGAGAAAGGTTGGATTTGAGGGACCAACCTATCGTGGGCCAGTAGGCTTGCTATAGCACCCCTCAATTATTACATTCTTGCTTCTTCTAGTGAGCCTGACTTCTTTAATTGTCTTCAGAATTTTCTGTGTCTCACCTTTCACAGTATTTAAGTCTTCATTTTGATGCCCAGATTATAGAGCAGGACTCTTCTCCAGGTGAGGGACTGACCACCTCAAAGCTACTACTTTGAGGGTGATGGACTGATTACACCATCTTTACATCTCCATTGTTCTTGTTGTTTCCTCTTTATTTCCTGTGTAGGTGATATATTTTGGATTTTAGATACCTAACTGTTATACGTGTCTTATTTGTCCCATACTGAGAGTTTGTGGTTTGATCCCCAGCACAAGTGGAAATGTTGGGCATGTTCCCTTAGATCTGCTGCCCCTGTTCACCTAGTACTAAGTTGGTACCTGGGTGTTATTTAACTGTTGTGGGTCATGCCCCAGGGGATGGAATTACTATTCCTTAAGGCTAGGCTTTGAAATGAGCTGAGGAATGGTAGCAGCTTTTAACCTATAAAGTTTATCTGTGTTTAGACAAAAACTTGGAATCTTTATTAACTACTAATTCTGCAAATTAACAAAATTGTTTCCTGATTTTGTTCTAAAAACCCTCATATTTTTTATTCAACAGAATTAGCAACATTTTTGGTCATCAGGATATCAAGTTGGGATTATCTCAGCACAAGCTTCTTGATCAATTCGATATGATCAGGGAAGGCAATGATGCTTTTCTTGAGAGAATTGTAAGTAGGATTTTTGTGTCACATGCATTTTGTGGTGTGTATTAATTCCTATTATCAAAACTGAAAGAAACTAAAGGATTTCTTTCTTTATTTGCTTATCTTTTGTGTTAATCTTACCTGCTAATTCATATTACTATTTGTTGTTAAAATAATAATTTTTAAAAATTGACAGATTTAAGAGACTATGTAAAATATTGTGATTAACATTACAATATGTATTAAATTGATTGGAGTATGTCTGTGACCTAAGTAGTGGAGAAAGACATGCATATCAAAAGACTGCCATTTATTATTACATTGTTTCACATGCAAGAGGCTTTATCAAGTTTGTATTTGTAGGTGAGACATAATAAAAGGTCTCTGCAGGAGGAGCAGAGTAATTCTTTGTAATAATAATCATGTTCAGGTTTGTGGATGATGCCAAAATTATAAGAGGATGCAATCCAAGGAAGACAGCAGGAAGATACAAGTGGACCTAAGTAGATTACAGGAATGGTTGAACAATAGGTTATGGTACTAAACTTCAACCCCCATCAGGTGAAAAATTGTGAAATTTGGAGTCTGGAAATTGATACTATAGGCAATGTACCACCTGGAAATTAGGGATAAGGGGGAAGTACGTACAGTGGAACCCTGGTTTTCGCATGCCCCGGTTATCGGACGCTTTGGTTTTAGAACCGTTTTTTGTGCTAAATTTTCCTCTGGATATCGGACCTTGATCTGGTAATCAGACGTATTATATGCATTCACCCGCCTGGGGATGCCACCACTACGCGGCTCAGTCTGCTTCTGTCACTAGTTGAGTGAGTATTACTTCGTGTATTCCAAAACATTTCATAATAATCCCTTGTTTTTGGTGCTTGTTCATTAATTGTGACTGTGTAATAAGCCACCATGGGCCCAAAGAAAGTTCCTAGTGCCAGCCAGCCAGCCAGAGAGGGGAGAATGTGCATTCTTAAGTGATTCTATGATATGCATGATACTAAAGCAACAGGAGTCAATAGAGGCTATAGCGCCAGCCAGCGATAAATTGTAGCATTAACAGTGTAGCAAGTAAGTTAAGCGATTAAGCGATAGAAAAATGACGACATGAAACTGACTCCTCCATTGTTGTTTGAGGTATATAGGGCCACTGACAACACCACTGCTGCCACCATCAACACTATATGTACAGCTTATGCTGTCAGTGGCCCTTATAAACCCAACAACCATCACCACCACTCCACATACGTAATGACATATTTTATTCATTGTAGAGTGTATATCATGTTTCTATGTTATTACAGTACTATTGTTTATTATGTTATATTAGATCAATTGTGATAGATAAATAAGCTGTTGAGTTGATATTAGCGTTGTATTCTTTAAAAAATGAATTTTTTTGTGAATATTTTTGGGTGTCTAGAACGGATTAGTTGTCAGTGGATCCCCGACTTATGATGGCCTCAGCCTATGACAAAATCGACTTAAGATGCTTGTCAGTGTAAAAATTTGACCCCAACCTATGTTGAAAAACTCGACTTACATCATTCGTCCCAAACGCGGCTGTCTGGTCCGTCTGGCCTGAGCGCCTCAGCTGAGCTAGTGTGACATTGTTTACAAGCCAGGGCGGACGGTTGCATGCATGCATACATTCGATAAAGTTTGTATTATTCCAGTGTTTTTAGTGCTTGTAGCTGCTAAATAAGCCACCATGGGCCCAAAGAAAGCTTCTAGTGCCAACCCTGTGGTAAAAAGGTTGAGAAATACTATGGAAATACAGTGGACCCCCGGTTAACGAACTTTTTTCATTCCAGTAGTATGTTCAGGTGCCAGTACTGACCGAATTTTTTCCCATAAGGAATATTGTGAAGTAGATTAGTCCATTTCAGACCCCCAAACATACACGTACAAACGCACTTACATAAATACACTTACATAATTGGTCGCATTTGGAGGTGATCGTTAAACGGGGGTCCACTGTACTATCGTACCACGGTCAGCTGCTGCTGCACCATGGTCAGCTGCTGCTGTAGCACCGTCAGCTGCTGCTGCTGTATCACGGTCAGCTGCTGCTGCACCACGGTCAGCTGTACTACTCGAAGATGTGGAGAGACTGTTGTTGGTGTGGCTTATTGAGAATACTGAGAAACAATTAACCCCAGAGGGATAGCCACCCAGGATAACCCAAGAAAGTCAGTGTGTCATCGAGGACTGTCTAATTTATTTCCATTGGGGTCCTTAATCTTGTACCCCAGGATGTGACCCACACCAGTCAACTAACACTCGGGTGAACAGGAGAAAATGCCTGGAACTAGTGCTCATATTGGTGAATTTAAGGCCAGCAAAGGTTTATTTGAGAGATTTAAGAATCATAGTGGCGCACACAGTGTGATAAAGCCTGTTGTGGAAGAAAATGCCAAACAGGACCTACATTACTCAGGAGGAAAGGCACTCCCTGGACAAAGAAAGTGTCTCATCACTCATCACCACATCTTCAATAAAGGTAAGTGTCATTTATTCTTCATTTAGTACACTATGTATAAAGCTGTAATATAACCTCTGAACTTTTGTTGCTTACACTTCTTGATATATATCCTAGTAATCTGTTTGCCTTATTACGTACACTTAGGCATTGCTGTGTTGGTTTAAGGTTACTGCTTATCATAACCTCCAAGTCTTTTTTGCAATCTGTATGGCTAAGTTCTACACTATTTAACTTGTAAGTGCTAGGGTTATGGACACTCCCGAGCTTCAGAGCCTTGCATTTATCTACATTGAACTGCATCTGACACTTTTCTGACCAGGTATTGAGTTTGTCTAAATCCTCCTGAAGTTCCCTGTTATCTACGTTTGAATCAATTAGCCTACCTATCTTTGTGTCATCGGCGAATTTGCTCATATCACTTGTAATTCCCTCATCAAGATCATTGATATATATTATAAACAACAACGGGCCCAAGACTGACCCTGTGGAACGCCACTTGTTACAGATCCCCGCTCAGATTTAACCCCATTTATGCACACTCTCTGCTTCCTGTCCATGAGCCATGACTCGATCCATGAGAGCACTTTTTCCCCAATGCTGTGAGCTGCCAATTTCTTTAACAGTCTTTGGTGTGGTACTCTATCAAAAGCCTTACTAAAATCTAAATAAACAGTATCAAATTCTTTATCGTGATCAACAGCCTCAAAAGCTTTACTGAAGAAAGTTAATAAATCAGTTAGACAAGGACAGCCTCTTGTGAATCCATGCTGAGTATCATTAAACAGATTATGCTTATCCAGATGGCTTCTTATAAACTCAGCTGTAATTGACTAGTAATTTGCCTACAATTGAGGTCAGGCTTATTGGACGGTAGTTGACAGTAACGACTTGTCCCCTGCTTTAAAAATAGTAATTACATTAGCCATCTTCCTCATATCAGACACTAACACCTGTTTGAAGAGATAAATTAAAAATATTAGTTAATGGTTCACAGAGTTCCGTTTTGCATTCCTTAAGAACCCTTGAAAAAAGCTCATCAGGTCTTGGCGACTTATTTTGCTTCAGTCGGTCTATTTGTTTCATAACCATTTCACTAGTGACTGTGATGTTACATAATTTTTTCTTCAGGCCCACTATAAAAATTAATTACTGGGATATTGTTAGTGTCTTCCTGTGTAAAAACTGAGAGAAAATAATTATTTAACATCGAGCACATTTCATTCTCTTTGTCTGTAAGATGCCCATAGTTATTTTTAACCCTTTCAGGGTCGAGAGGCCCTCTCCTAAACTTGTTCTCGGGGTCGAAAATTTGTCAGAAAAAAAAAATTAGTTTTTCTTATGAGAAGATAGAGAATCTTTTCCCGATCATAATGACACCAAAAGTATGAAATTTGATGGGAAACTTACGGAATTATGCACTCTCCCGAAGTTAGCGGTCACGACAATATTCACGTATCGGTGATTTCACCCACTTTGAGCCCTATTTTCAGCCATTTCCAATGTACCAGTCGACAAAAATAGTAACTATTTTGTCTAGAACTCCAGTTTTTTCTATCGAAATGAGTACAAGAAACCACTCATTTATCGATTTCAGCTATCCAATAAAGTGGTCAGAAATTAGCAATTTTGCCAAATTTCACACAAATTTTAAAAGATGCCAGTTTCCAAATAGGGTCCAGAATAAACAAGACAGACATTCCTGACACTAAAATAACATTCCTCTGTTCATTTGTCACGTTCCCAGGCCCCCTTTACATTTCTTTTGCTTTCCACTTTGAATTTTTATTCTCACAAAAAATAGAAGATTTACTGTTATGCAGATTACTGCATTAGTGTAGAAATGGTGTAATTAACATTAGCGCACTTGTGAAAGAACATTAGACTCACCAGTTGAAGTGTATTGAATGCGTGGCATGATTTGTTTACTTTTGAACTTTGGCAAAAAATCGAACATTTCTGCTACTTTGAGCTCAATTTCAAGGTACTTTTCATGTGAAACCAATCAAGATCATCTCAATTTCTGTAATATGTCTTCCATTCTATAAAATGAGACCAGGAAAACTGGAATACAACCATAAATACCATACGAAAATACTACAGTGCAAAGTCACTGTTTTAAAACAAAAAACATGGTCAAAGTTTTTTTTTTCTCATTACGCACTGTGTGCTGCAGGATTTTTTTATACTGTGCACACTGACCACATAGACCCATTCTTTCATACGTAGGCCTACCAGCTTTCTCTCACTAGATTTGAAGGCGCTAGAATTTACGTGTACTAGTACGTCAATAACCCTGGTGCGTAAGCTTTACTAGTATGTCAGAAACCCTGAAAAGGTTAAGAGGACCTATCTTATCTCTAACTTTTGTTCTATACACCTAGAAATTTTTTTGGGGGTTAGTTTTCGAATCCCTAGCAACTTTAATTTCATAGTCCCATTTAGCTTTTCTTATCCCCTTTTTAACGTCCCTCTTAATGTCAATACAGTGGACCCCCGCATAACGATCACATCCGAATGCGACCAATTATGTAAG